TGTCATTTTGCAAGATGCTAAAGGTATATTTTGTATTAAAAGGGCAATGATATTAATGCATGCAGAAGGGCACAGTAGAGGTTCACACCACAGTAGATATCACAAACGTGGTAGCATGGACTTGCTGTGAACTCAACAAGCTGAAATTGCCATGGAATTTTGAAATCAAGCTGGCCCAGGTGCTCAACATGTCCATGCAACAGCTCCTGTGAGTATTGGATTTCGATCTGTAGCACTGAAAATCAGGGAAATTCCATGCTGTAATTTTGGCTGGCTCACATTGTGAAGAGTTAAGCAAGAAGCAGCAGTAACAGCAGCATTTTTCTGATTATTTAGGTCAAGGTTATAATATTGCTGCTGAGCAGAATAGTAGCTCTGGAATGCAATTGTCAAGGCTACAGTCCCATCTTACATTTACTGCCTGCCCTTTGTTATGAACTCACCAACATTGGAGCTTAGTGCATGTAAATTTAAATTGATATACAAAGTCCTGCCCCTCAGATTACCATAAGAGAATGGACCAAAATACTGTTGATTTATAACATCAAAAAATGGAAAAAAGTGTTTGTAAAGTCACATCGTACATACTTCTCAAAATCTGTCTTTGCCTGGTCTGTAGCAGCGGCAATGTGAAATGATCTATCCAAGGTAGTTTCTGTCTCCTGTTTCTGGGAAAACTAGATTCAGAGTGCAGACCCAACTCGTCAATTTTATTTCCACTTTCATTTTATGAAACACACTTCATATCGATACTAATGAACACAATAACTGCATCTTCAATATGAACATATGAATTAGGAGCAAGAGTAGGCCACTTGACCCTACAGGCCTGCTCCGTCATTCAGTAAGATCATGGCTGACCTGATTTCTACACAACCTTGCCGATCAATGATAATCGTTCAACCGTTTGTTTATGTAGAACCAAACTCTATCTTAAAAAGCTTAAAATATTCTCCACTACTTTTGGGAGGAAGTGAGTTCCAAAGAGTTTTATAAATGGGTGACCTGTTTTCTGTTAGTTACCCAATGTTTTATCCATGTCGATATGTTTCCCCTTGTATCATGAGCTATTATTTTCTGCAATAACCTTTGATAAGGCACTTTATGGAATGCCTTCTGCGTGGTACATCTACGGATTCTCCTTTATCCACAGCGTATATTACTTCACAAAATCATGTTGGCTCCGTAAATGCCCTGCTATAAAGCTTTAAAATTCTTCCCTACAGCAGTTGTTAAATAAATGCACTCTAGTTTCCAGCTTCCTGCATGCCTCCCTTTTTGGATAGTGGTAGTGCCTGAAGGAGACAAATAGAGTTAATGTATCAAGTCCAGTATGGCTTTTCCTCAGACCTATTGCTGTCACTACAGATGCTGTTGACCTGCTGAGTTTCTCCAGCACTTCTCAGTTTTTATTTCCCATTACTTCTTCTGTTGCTCCACCCTGCCGTGTGCTACTTTTTGGGGGCCTGTACATCACTTCCACGAATTACTTCTATATTGTGCCAATACCATAATTAATTAATATAGCCACCTCTTTACCTTTTCCTAGCATCCTGTCCTTCCTACATGTCCCTACCCTTCAATATTCAGGTCCCAATCTATATAATTCTGAGGCCTCTGTCCTGGCCATAGTGTATTATTTATTTCTGTTTGTGCTATTAGTTCATCCATTTGCTTTTGAATGCTTCATGCATTCAGAGGCAGAGTCTTACATTTGGCTCTTTATTACTTTATAATTAATATTATTATATTTAACTACTGTCATGAAGGCAAAATCCTCAAGCTATAAATGCGAGAAATGATAAGATTGTTACATCATCCCTATTTTATATTAGTAGTGTACATTTGAGTGTTGATCATAATTTGTTAATCTGGTCATTGTTATTGACAAAAATAGATAATCCAGAACAGTTTGGAGCATAAAAGTGTAGTGTAAATGTTGTTTGTTTATCTGGTATTTTACTAGAATTTAGAATGTGTCATCAACAAATAAAGCCAGTGTTTAAAAATTGGCCAGAGGAATTTTCTAATTGAGAATTAAAAAGGATGAATAGCTATGTTTCTTACATTACAACAGTGACTATATCCAACAAGTGGCTTAATTGACAGTAAATTTGTTTTAGAGGTCTGTTGATCTTGAGAAGTGTTATACAAAAGCAAAGGTTTTCTTTGTATTTTCATAGATAATCTAGCAATTTCAAAAGAATTTGCTTTACAGGCGTCCACACAGCAGCTCACCCACCTGAACTGTAATTATGTTGTTAAATAGGCACTAATTGCCAATTTAAGGGCATCATTGGGCGATAGGGTAGGAAGCATGTCCATGAGCCTTCCTTCTCCAGGCCTAACCAGGGTAGAGACTGGAAAGTAGTAGGGGCCATGCACTTTCCCTAATGTGGTCCTAGCACCAGGCTTGCCATAGGAGAGTGAATTAAATTCTGCCCTAGTTCTTTAGAAACAACTAAAATTGATTGAGAAGTTTAAAACTGATATGCAGTGAATTTCTTGGTCACTGAAAGGCTAAAAGTTTCATGTCAACACTTATTTAAACCACTTCTTGATGTGGGTGTAGTTAAGGACTGACTAAAATTGTACACATCTCAATACATTGTTGAATTATGCCCCTCAGTCTTTCTTCAATGGTTCCCCACTCCTTCAGCAACTTTGTAAACTTCTTCAATCATACAACTCCACAGGAACCTGTATCGCTCTTGAGACTTGGTACAATGCCACTCCTTCATCTCCACTGTTGGTGGTCATACATTCAGTGACTTAGGTCTTAAGAAAAGAGGAAACCATGTGTAGCCTTCATGGATGTTAACTATCTAAAAGGTTATGGTTGGGTAATGCAATAGGACCATATCTTCACTGTCAACTGAATCACGACCCAAAACTGTGAGTTGTGAAAAAACATACATCTGTAGAACTTCTGTTTTTTATTGTTCATTATGAGTAAAATTATGCACAGATTTTGGTATGCTTGGAAATACCGCAGTTTAATTGAGAAATCACATCACTGGGCTGATGGTGCATTGCATTTTAAGAAGTGGTTTAAATAAGTGTTGACATGATACCTTTGGCCCCTCAGTGACCAAGAAATTCATTGCATATCAGTTTTAAACTCCTCAGTCAATTTTAGTTGTTTCTAAAGAACTAGGGCAGAATTTAATTCACTTTCCTATGGCAAGCCTGGTGCTTGGACCACATTAGGGAAAGTGTGTGGCCCCTACTACTTTCCAGTCTCTGCCCCAGTTAGGCTGAGAGCAGGAAGGCTCATGGACATGCTTCCTACTCTATCGCCCAATGGTGCCCCTAAATTAGCAATTAGTGTCTATTTAACAACATAATTACAGTCCAGGAGGGTGAGCCACTGTGTGGATGCCTGTAAAGCAAATTCTTTTGAAATTGCTAGCCTGCTATGGGGGAGAATGGTGGTTGGGGGAATGGGGATATGGTGGACTTTCACAATCAAAAGGCACTTAATGCTGGTTTGAGAGACTTGGCATTAGAAAGGCAGGGCAACCCACACTGCCGATTCTTATTTGCAGCCTTCCCCATCTCCCCATGTTTTCATCTCCTCCTTGCTTTCTCCTCCTGCTATGACCCCCTCGCTTTACCTTCCTCCTGCAGTGATCCTGTGTATTACAGGCACAACGAACGGCTGTCGGCCTAAGATTGATTAAAAGCTCTCAGCGAAGGGGCCGTGTGTCTCCAGGGATTTTTACATCTTGAACAGGCCCTGTGCCTCTGAGTTAAGAGCATAGTTAACAATTAACATGGTGATCTTTCCTGAAATGTGACACACAGAGCTCTCGTTGCGTCTGAAATCAGAGGTCAAAACTCCCATTGCCAATGTTTAATTTTTCCCCCTTTTTGTCTGATCCCCCTTTCACCAACACTGAAAGATTGCACAGTGCTTAGTTATCGGGAGTGTAAGCATTTGTGCATCAAACTCTACTGTCTTATTAGAACACAAAGTGGACATGGTGTATACTTGCATCACTCCAGATCATTCAACCTGTTAAACAATATAACTACATCATATCAATGACGAAGTCTGTATCTTTAATATGCATTTGCAGCCTGTCTTTAAGAGACCAACAGTATCAAGACTTTTTTTATAGGTAATATTGTTTGTTATAAGAGGGCTGGAGAGTCAGCAAGCTTTATTTATTCATTCAGGGAATGTAGGCTTTGCTGGCTGTGCCATTATTTAATGTCCAACCCTAACTATCGTTGTGAAAGTGGTGGTGATCTGCTTCCTAATGAACTACTGCAATCCATTTGCTGTTGGTGCGGAAGTTCCTGGATTTTGACCCAGTGACAGTGAAGGAACGACGATATAGTTCCAAGTCAGGATGGTGTCTGGCTTGGAGAGGATTATGTAAATAGTGGTGTTCCCGCATATCTGCTGCCCTTGTCCTTCTACATGGTAGAGTTCATGGGTTTCGGAGATGTTGTTGAAGGGGTATTGATGAATTTTTGTAAATAGTACAGACGCTGTTACAGTGGGGTGGAGGATCTGAATGTTTGGTTAGAAATGTGTTTCCAATTCAACTGTATTCTATCAATTCTGTTAATCAACAATTTTGAAAAGTGACAGAAACCGAACATTAGGAAAATGGCCACAAGTCCCTATAAATTAGAACTTCTATTTCTGAAAGAGATCAAAGCTGAGGAAAGCTGATTAAAGTTCATACAACATATAGCTTCTATATTCAGATGTAAAGTTAGTTAAGATTTGTTTAATAAGAAAACAACATGTCTTATAGCTGGAATCATTAAAAAACAGTGGGCGAGAAAGTCTCTCACTTAAAATATATATATTCCCGTGAAAATATATTTGTAAAATACATGTAAATATTTGTAGCAGCCTATTGCTGTTATAACTGACAAGTATCTGGGAGACCTGGGAACTTTATCGTTATAATCTAAGAACATAAAATATGAGAAGGATGCCCAAATGTATTAATCACTACTTCTGATACTGTGTTATCTCTTATCAGGATGAATTTCATCCATTCATTGAGGCGCTTCTTCCACATGTCCGTGCATTTGCCTACACGTGGTTCAACCTACAAGCCCGGAAACGAAAGTACTTTAAGAAGCATGAGAAGCGGATGACAAAGGACGAAGAGAGAGCAGTGAAAGATGAGTTGCTGAGTGAGAAAGCAGAGGTGAAACAGAAGTGGGCATCAAGACTGCTTGCCAAACTACGCAAGGACATCCGTCCTGAGTATCGCGAAGATTTCGTGCTGACCATCACAGGGAAGAAGCCTCCCTGCTGTGTTCTCTCCAATCCGGACCAGAAAGGCAAAATAAGACGTATCGATTGTTTACGGCAAGCAGATAAAGTTTGGAGGTTGGATCTAGTGATGGTGATCCTGTTTAAAGGGATCCCTTTGGAAAGTACTGATGGAGAACGTCTAGTGAAGTCCCAACAGTGTAATAATCCCATGCTGTGTGTGCAGCCCCATCACATAAGTGTTTCAGTTAAGGAACTTGATTTATACTTGGCATACTTTGTGCAAGAAAGAGGTAAGTGACATCATGATCAGCTGTTTAACTTATGCCTTTTATCCTCCATAGCACCACTGTAACTGTGAATGGTTTGCAATGATTCTTTATGTAAAAGTTATGCTTTTTCAAAAAGACAATTGTTGCTAAGTGATTACCTACATTATATTGTTTTCGGCCTGTGGGGCTGCAGGCAAAGTGAAACTGACAAGTGTCCATTACCAAGTTTTAGTAAACATCATTCATTTGGAAGCACATTATCTGAAACTGTGAAGAGCTTGATGGAGAAATGCTTACTTTTTATAACAAAATATTGTCTTGGGTGCTACATTTTCAATTTTACAAGTCAGTTAATTAAAACTATTTTAATCCAAGCCCAACAATGTATCTTTAAACTGTCAAAGTTGGTTGAGTAATTTTTCAAAATCTGACGAACAAACAATCTTATGGGAACAAATATAAAGCATAATTAACAGATTCTCATAACTGGAAGAATTATATAGTTGTTAAACTGGATTACTGTCAAATGATCTATGAAACCATATGTGTTACATAATTAAGGGAACCCACTTTAACATAAAAGTTTTACTGATATAAGTAAACTAAAATGTAATATGCAGGTTAATATGTATTCCTTTGCTATTTTAGTCAAAGTGTTAACCCATTTAAAATAGACCAGTCAATGTCTACTATAATGAGTCGAGATGCATTAAATCTGCTAATATTGACAGTGGGAGTTTATAGCATGATGATTTTAATGCCTTTATCTAGTGTTGAAACATAAAGTTTGATTTTCTTAATGTGTAAATTAAGGTTTGCTTTCCTGGAACTTCATGTTCCTGTGCAATCAGCCCCCTCGATTCCTGCAGGACCAACTTAACTGGATGCAAATAAGAGCTTCTCAGTTCTGCAAGTGAAGTGCATTTCTAGTTCAGAGGTTAAAGAGACAACATTCATTTTGTTCACGTATGAGCTTATCAAAAGCCCCATTTACATTGCAAGATGACTTTCCATTCTGATCTGAGTTGGAAGGGACACCTCCTTGTTTACATATGCTTCTGAGCTAACCAAATTCATACCGTGTTGGTATCATACTGCTAATCTAATATGTTTTCAATAGCGGTACTGAGGACAAGAAGTCTACCAAGGCTTGAATAAGAGTATTCTTACTCAGATTGCAGTGCATAAAATGCTGTGCTGGATCACCACATAAAATAGGAAAGCTTGTAATATTCTCTTGCCATTCCCTGCGCAGTATTATTTCACTTCTCTTCATTGGAAAGGCAATGGATATTGTGATTTCATATTGGAAGGGATTAAGAAGTATTATCTATTGTTCTTAAAGAATTTTTCATTTGAGGTGTGGCCCTGTAGAAATTCACAAGTCTCGCTAGCAATGACTCACGTTTCAAGTCATTTGCTAGCAACAGGCTGTTCCTTGGCATTATCTTGTGTGAGGATTTGTCTGTATTTGCATTTGGATTATTTAAAGATCTGTACAGAGTAGACAACAGTGTAACAAAAAATAAACATGCTGATTACTAATGGACTTCAATGTAGGTGAATGAGTTTTGCAATTCAGTAGCAAGATAGTTTATTCCTTTACAAGACGTTTAGCATAATTTATTGTAGTTGTAACGTATGCTATATAACTTTGATAATTTTACATTTTAAGTAATCATTTACGCATGGGAAAATTTTGGAAGTGTAAAATAATAGTTTAAGTATCTGTTATAAAGGCTAAATAACACTCCTATGTTTCTAAAGAGATTTATAAATTGACAAGATAGAGAGGGTATTATTATAGCGATGGGGGAGAGGGCATGCGTAACCAGGCCAATGCATTTTTTTTATTGTTAGAATAAAAGAAGAAATGAGAAGGAAGCATTTCAAGATGGGAAGGCATTGCAATGGTCCAGGAAATGACAGAAATCTTATCCCCCCTCATCTTTTAAGCACTTCATTGCACATGAGGTAGTCTATTGCTTCCACTGTTTTTGAATCTAGCAGATCAGACTCTGGGATCCTTCTGTAATGACACCCATTTATAAGAAATAGATAACTTGATTGAGCAAACAGCTGTGTTGTGATGGTGATACCAACACTCCATGCCCTTTTTGTCATAAGTACTCACGAGGTGTCTGCCGAGTATTCAGAGGCTGAAATATTGGTCTCCTGCCTGCTGGAGTCATGATGGGGAGTCAGTACTTCAGTTCTATTGCTCAGGATGCCAGTTCGGTACTCAGCAATCTGAACTCTCATCTCCGTTTGCCGATGCTGTCTAGAATTGGGCACAAACCCATCACTTCCAGTGGCAGAGATTTAACCACAAAGCCCCTGCTTGTTTCTGAAAATAACACTTAAGGGTGAATTAATATTTTTAGAAAAATGTTATGACAAGACTTTAAAAGAGCAGAAACTAGAGGCCATTTTGAATGAGAATCTACATAACACATCAATTGTGAATCGTAATCAAGAAAGCTCCTGATAATCCAGAAGTTGTTTTGCAAAATCTTATTACTAAATTCTGTTATGTTGAATTTAAATCAGCACAAAGCAAACTCTTCAAGGAGAATTGATCTATTTTTAAATCTTCATAATGGAAGAGTTTGGTTTTTGGTGTGTGATTAACATGTCATTTCATTAGGAATGATGTAATTGAGCTGCATCAAAGAGGAGTCTCTACTCCTACACAGTGTTTCAGGAAATCAGTTTTCTCAGTCCCTTCAACACATATAGGGTACAGTAGAAATGCTTATATATTTCATCAATTTCTGTGGCATTTTGGAAAGTATTTGATTTCAAAGGAAGGTTGGCCACATTTTCTCCTTTCAGTAGCATTGTGATGATATTGTAACATTGGCTAGTAAGTGACAATCAATCAATACCTATTTTAATAATGTTGCTGGAGTTTCCCTTCAATGCATTGCCACTGACAGCACTTCACCATCAATATGCCTTAGCTGTCATTGTGCAACTTTACTTGTGTATCATCAAAGGTTTCAGTTTGTTTTTATCGACAGTCCTCTGGCTTCATGCTCAAAATTAGTGACTGATTTGCAGTGTGCAAACCCACAAGAGCAGCAGCAGAGTTAAAGTGTTAGATACTCTGTTACTGAGCATCCTGCCTTCAGCATCTTTATCTAAATGAAAATCAGAAGCCTTTCCTTGGACAGTTTTTTTTACCACCCTCTATTTCAAGTTTACTTGCGAAATGATGAGTAAACTAACTAAAAGATACATATCAGTGTTAGGCTGAGTTTGGATTAGTCATTTATGTTAAACATTTTCTAGATTTTCATCATGCTGATCTGTATAGACAGGCCTTCTTTATGCCCACTAATGAATGATTGTCACAAGCTGTTCTGTACTCATACGTCTTCTTTAACTCAGCCTTTTTTTCGCAATGCTACGCTAGCAGAATCTTCAGATTGGAAATGCTGTTGCATCTGACCAAATTGTGATGGCTGCAGAAGATAAGGCTGCAGAAACTGTCAAAGTTCCAGGACTTGCATTTTCCAATATATTAAGAGCAATACATTATTCAACCTCAATCTTAGGGGTCCATTTAAAATAACAGCCCCAAACTAGAAATCTTATTGTTGCATTTGTTTGTAGATTAGTTTCAAGAAAACAAAAATCAATTAAATTGACACTATTCAGAGTTTAAAATGAATTGTTCAAAACAAAGTAGTGAGTCTTGTTATTGGCATGTTTTGTCCCATATGCTACATAGAGATAGGAAGGAAATGAGCAGAATTTTCACAAATGATATAGGGGTTGCAATAGCCATGTTTTCTAAAAAGCATACAAGTAAAATATATGTCTTTGAAAAACTTTTAACTAATGTCATGATAGTATTTATGTTTCAAAAACATCAGTTATCTTGACATTAAGGTGGCTATAACTTAGCATTAAGTTTATATTGTTAGAGTCAGTTTTTGTTGTTTACCTCTTGTCCACATTAGTCAGGTAATTCAGTGATGTCAAAACTTTTAAAATCAGGTCATTTTATTCCTCACAATTCAAAAGCTTAATCATTTTAATTAGCCTGTCCTTGCAGATAATTTACAGTCTACGTTAGTAGTTATCCAATTGTAGTTTTCTTCACACTGGACTTTACATGCACTAATACAATGTTTAGAACCATCTTGGCAGTTGGAATATGAAAGCACAGCTTCCCAATTTGACATCATTAAACAGTTAAAATATTTAGTTGTAAAGTACAACTTACAAGAGTCATAGGTAAGGACACAAGGGATTAATTTTATCCTCTTTAGATGTCTGTCCTCACAGTATTTGACATATACCCTTCTGTTTAAACTACAAAATTCTAAAGGCAATATCATGTCTTCACCCAGCAATATTTATTGATTATTGAGATCATTTTTCAGTCGTTTAAAAAGACACAAAAGAAAATACTTTGATTTTTCTGATATTTGTTTGCAAAGAAATAGACATATTTCTCACTTTCATCTAAAACAGTCTAACATAAATTCATTATTATTAATTCATTTATTTCTCCCTCCTCTTGACTCTACAAAATAAAAATGATCATCGTAGGAGAAACGTTTATTTTATACTATGGTCAAAATAAGGAAAATACAGCTATCCCATCTCAGAGAGGTAATTTTGTGACAAGAGTTGCAATTTTGAAACTTCTTTTGATCAATTTCAATCCCATAGTTAATTTTATGAATTTCCCTTTGTGTGTGACTGAGCCACCATTAAAATGAATATCACAAATATTACCGGCTCGTTCCAACATGCCAGCCACAGGATGACAGTTAATCTCTAGACTGAGGAATGCTTCCAGAGGAGTTAAATTGCATTGGCAAATTAAACTTTCTTTTTGCTGGAGCAAATGATTGGACACAATCCTAGAATAAGAAGTGTTAATCTGCACCTGCAGTTCCTCAAAGCAAGTTAAACATTTTGACTTAGGCAAATATCTGGCAGGTTCTGGAGTTGAGCGTATGTTTCAATTTTGTTATATTCTAATCTTAAATTCCCTGACTCTTCTTTTTAATACTTCCTTTGCAGGATCAGCTAATTTTCCTGCAACCTCCCACAGCTTGGAAATGAGGATAGCCTTGTCTCTGCAATCCACAGTGTTTGCAGAGTGGCCAGCCAACTATGTCAGTTTTAACTTCCCCAGTATGGGATCCTGCCATAAGCTTTCACACTAGTAGATTTGGTGAGAGCTTATATAACTCATTCACAACACGAGCAATGGATTTGTGTGACAGACCATCCTGGGACTTGATCCTACAGCTGTAGATAGTTCACTGGCAGTACCACTGAACTGCTGAA